CGCAGTGAAATGAAGTGAACAAATGACCAACCTTTTATAGACGCGGTCTGGAACTTCATTAAAAATAAAGTTCTTTCCTAATGTTGGGATCAAAAGTAAGGCAATGCAAAGACTATATTTGTCCACAATTTGCCACTGCACAGCATCTTGTTATCTTCGGAGCCATCTTTATCATTTGGTTTCTGTGTAGACCTGCATTCATCTCTCTCGTTATTTACACTATGTGCGCGAATCAGTGGGCAGAGCTTAACAGGCAGTGATGTAGAATCAGTGGGCGGAACTAAACAGGCAGAGATGTAGAATCGGTGGGCGGAGTTAAACAGGCAATGATGTAGAATCGGTGGGCGGAGCTAAACAGGCAATGATGTAGAATCGGTGGGCAGAGCTAAACAGGCAATGATGTAGAATCGGTTGGCGGAGCTAAACAGGCAGTGATGTAGAAGCAGGAGTTGATCTTCTTCTGCGGAGGCGGGGTTTAGCCGCACTATTACGTCATAGAGCGGAACATTCCACAAGCTTTAGTTTTGGCAGATTGGATTCGATGTAAGCTGTTCCCTTTCATGGGAACTTCGAACTGCGTCCTCTAGGGGTCGCTATGGGAGATGCCTCACCGTGACCCGTGTCTGAAGCATACATTGAAAAAACACCAACTCGTTGGCCGGCGACAGCCATGACGTCACTACCGGTGCAACTATATTATAAATAGGCGCCGGGAGCATACATCATTCTCTTCTTCGTCTTCATTGACTGTTTTGTTTGAAGCGTGAAAAAAAATTCTGTGGTAAGAGCGATCTCTATTCATCTCATTATGGCGACGATGGTGATGCTCCAAGCATATCAGGCTGACCTGCTGAAAGACCGGGATAGCGGACTTCACGAAGTCCAGGTCTGAGCCCGAACAACCAAGGGGTCCTAGCCCGTCTCGGTTTGAGCATCAGAGACTGGCTCAGAAGGTTAGTGTCGCGGCTCGCGCTCCTCCCCTGCTCGCGGGTAGGGGTAGGAGGAATCACGGGTCAGAGGAAGGTAAGTAAAAAACCCAAGGGATGTGATCTAGACAGGGCGTCAGCGCTTTTGTCCGGATCAGAGTGATACCTCAGTATCTACTCATTTCCTTCGGGGGTCTACGCTGGCCAGCTATCTCTCTATGGGTGAGACATCCTCTAAGACTCCCCTTCTTGACATCTCGCTGAATATACATACGCAGAAGCAGCAGGTTGGGCTGTCGCTTCATTGCACACGATGGTGATGCTCCAAGCATATCAGGCTGACCTGCTGAAAGACCGGGATAGCGGACTTCACGAAGACCAGGTCTGAGCCCGAACAACCAAGGGGTCCTAGCCCGTCTCGGTTTGAGCATCAGAGACTGGCTCAGAAGGTTAGTGTCGCGGCTCGCGCTCCTCCCCTGCTCGCGGGTAGGGGTAGGAGGAATCACGGGTCAGAGGAAGGTAAGTAAAAGACCCAAGGGATGTGATCTAGACAGGGCGTCAGCGCTTTTGTCCGGATCAGAGTGATACCTCAGTATCTACTCATTTCCTTCGGGGGTCTTACATCTGCCCTTATCTTCATCTTCCTAATTCCCCTGTAACCACCATCTCTCCACCTGACCGAGGTTAGGTGGGAAATTCCCTGCATTATAGTCTCCTATGCTGGACCTATTAGGTTTGGTTGGTTCTATGGCTTCATAGTGACCATCTTACTGATGGTCCAGTCTAGAGGCTTCTTCGGACAGAGCTCCGATGCGGGAACCATGGTGAGTGAGTACGATCCATGTCTAAATATATGTATATATAAATATATATATATATGTGTGTATCTAATGAGCTGGTGGTTGTGTGTATAACCCTGCAGCTAGTTTCTTTGCAGTGTTTCCCGGGACCAGTGTGTTTCTGTCCCTCTCTAGGGTAGGTCCTCGATGGGCACCCCCACTTCCTGTGTAAATGCTGGCTCGGGCAGTGCTCCCCTCACCTTTGAGGGGTGTATTTGAGCTTGCCTCTCCTGTTTGGCCCAGTACTTCCGGGTATCTGTAAACAGATGCTTGGAAAACTCTAAAATCCAAATACTATGGTAAGTGCACACGTTAAGCTTTGCGCACTTTTCTACAAATCCACATAAGTGGTAAGTGTGCACGTTATGCTTTGCGCACTTTCTAAAATCCACATAGCTGGTAGGTGTGCACGTTATGCTTTGCGCACTTTCTAAAATCCACATAGCTGGTAGGTGTGCACGTTATGCTTTGCGCACTTTCTAAAATCCACATAGCTGGTAGGTGTGCACGTTATGCTTTGCCCACTTTTCTAAAATCCTGTATGGTAAGGGTTACGCGTTATTGATCTCGTTCCTTTTCTCTGAGTTGGTTTAGACCCCGGTACCTTGGGCTCCACTCAACTAGTGTGTCTCTGTCGACACACTCTGGAAGCATCACTCCTCTCACCATTCAGGGTTATTGTGAGTATGGTGCTTTCTTTCGAGCATTAATCCTCTCTGAGGAGTTGGATTCCTCGCTCCATGGGCTGTCCTCGTGGTAGTATTGAGCAGTGCTCCCCTTTTATCAAAGGGTTACCTGGAATGAGCAACGTTATTCCTCTGAATTCG